ATATTTCGTATTTTCATTGTTGTTAGATGATAAAACATGATTAATATTTTATGCGTGACTTGTCTTTTTAATTTTTTATAAGATAGACGGTCAAATGTTAGACACGGAAACCAAGGTTTGTCTTCTTTTTTTTTTTTTTGACAGAGAGAGTATATATCAAATGATCAAACCATAGTACGCTAGTGGACCCAAGGCTCGATCATGTGACCAGGAGGAGCCATCCTACTAATTAACTGGCCCACCACAGTAAATAATGTTATTTTATTTCATCAACATTTGCCTATGCTAATTGCTATTAATATGTTTTCCGTCATGCTCTAGAAAATTCCTAAGAGTCTGTCACTCAAGGTTAGAAAACAAAAGGTACAACCAAACAACAACGATTAGTATATATATAAGGACAGTAGGTCGACATTGCATATGTTGCATGCGCATGCATATGCCATCAACGTATCCTGTAGACACATTTTTTTTATTTATTATTGAAAGGGCAGTCGAGCAACTAACTTTATGATAGTAGAAGTAAAATATCCTTGTGCTCGCAAGTTAAAAAAGAATAAAGTGGAAAAACTGTGCATACATTTTAGAGATATTAATGGCTAGTGGACCAGAGGAATATACAAATTAGTACCCGTAACCACCAGATTAGGATTTCCCAAACCTCCAGGGCCGGGGTTACCGTGCCCTGGCGGTAATTACGGTTACCACGCGCCGTAATCGTAAAAAATCGTACAAAATTTATCAAAAATTCAAATTATTTTTTAAATTTATGAATTTAAGGAGGCTACCGTGGTATTTATATTACCGTATCCCGTGGTAAGCCCGACAACCGCGCAGTTACCGGTGATAACGTAAACCCTGCACCAGACAAAAGTGAAGAACAAACTATAGCTATATACTGTAGTTATCCAACATCCTTGATCATGCATCCTTACGGTGAAAATTGACTATGTAAATATGTGATGTCTAGCAGGCGAATGATCTGGTGATTAACTTTTCGATCATATGGAACAGGGAATAGTATGTTTTGAATAGGCTATAGAAAATTTATGAGAGTCTGTCATTCAATCTTAGGAAACAAGACGTAAAACCCGCACGACAACGACAAATATGTAAGGACAAGAAGTCGACATTGCTTTATGTCGCATGATACATATAATATATCATCAATCAACAGATCATGTACGTACACACATTTTATAGGCATTATATGGTTAGTGGACCAGGAGAGGTTGTACGTTGTAGGTATCCCGTAACCACCAGCAGAAATGAGAATATCGGGTGTGTTTAGTTCCTGAAAAAAGTTGGAAGTTTGAAGAAAGCTGAGAGTTTGGAAAAAAGTTAGAAGTTTATGTGTGTAAAAAAGTTTTTAATGTGATATGATGTGATGGAAAGTTGAGAATAGAGGGAAAACTAAACACGGCAATCGTATACATATATCATAGCTAACCAACGCCCCTACTCGTCCTTGCGATGAACAGTGACTATACATACAATGTGTGATCTGTGATACTCCCTCTCCGTCCCCTAATATAAGGAATTTTGATATTTTACTCGCACTGTTTTACCATTCGTCTTATTTAAAAAAATTAAAATTATTATTTATTTTATTTGTGACTTACTTTATTATCTAAAGTACTTCTTTTTATATTTATACAAATTTTTTTTGAATAAGATGAGTGGTCATACATCAGAAGCAAAATGTCAAAATCAATATAAGAGACGGAGGGGGTAGATATCAGCAGACCGATCGATCTGGTCGCTAGCCTTCTGATAGTACGGTAGGCATGACCTATCAGATTGATGTCGTACGTGATCAAATGGGATGCCGATGACTCGATTTACTACTGTGCATTTGCACATGCATTTGCATATACACCTAAGTAAAGAGGGAAAATTTAGTTGTAGCAGCTATATATATGGTATATCTCCTGCAAATTTGTTTGGAATTAAGCAAGGGTGGAACTAGCAATTGGCCAAGCCTCTCAGACTAGGCTACTTAATTTTCAGCTACGCAATACATCTCTATTCATTGTATAGTCCTATATGTGGACTACAACCTTAATGCTTAATTTGATATTCATGTCTAGTGTCATAAATACGTGTATTCTCGAACTAGAAGGGTGTAGAATAGAATTGGCATAAATAAGCATGCAACCACTCTAGCTAGCTCGGTGATGAATCGGATCAATAGGGACAAAAATGTGTCGGATACAGTTGGATATTGAAGGATGCCAATAGGTGACATAAGCAAACACTATTCATGTATAGTCATCGTGGTGGCAAATACATCCTCCATCCCATAATATAAGGGAGTTCTTCTAAATTTATCATGAATTATAAGGTGTTTTGGAATACTGAGACGGTACTTTATTCTCTACCTACCAACTTTTATACTCCCTCCATTCTAAATTGATCTACATATTTTATAGGCACACCAAGACCAAGAAAAGCTAATAACTCTCTCATACTATATTTATTCTAGCAACAAACTCGATGCATGCATCATCCCTAATATTTTCTAGCCAATAGCAAATCAAGATAGTGCATGTGGGTTATAAATACTTGTGTGCATGGATGCATGCATCAATGCCCATTTACTCCAATACACAAATAACGAATATACTTAATAATAAACACAAATATGTAGATCATTTAGGAATAACCTCAAAAAACTATATGTAGATCAATTTGGAATGGAGGGAGTACTATTTTATTCCCCCACCCACTACCTTTTATACTACTCCCTCCATTCCAAAATATAAGGCACAATTACTTTTTAAAGTTGTTTCATAATATAAGCGTGCATGCATACATGCCATTAACTAACACATCTTTTTCACTAAAATATTATTATTTAAATCCCCCATTATCAAGATCTCTAATTTTGTTGGGTGCATGCATTCTATTTATTACGGTAATCCAAACTATGATGTGATAATAATTATTTCTTGGTCTTTGAGTTAAGGGTGGTTGTGTCTTATATTTTAAAATGGAGACAATACTTTGTGTATGAATCGTATATAGGTCCTATTCGACTGTCCTTTTGTTGTAGTTGCACGGGCTACGGTTACTACAAGCTAGTAATAGTGACATACTCCCTCCGTCCAAAAAAAAGACTCAATTCCTGGGTTTCCGTGTTCTATGTTTGACTGTCCGTCTTATATGAATTTTTTTTATGATTAGTATTTTTATTGTTGTTAATGATAAAACATAAATAATACTTTATACATGACTTATCTTTTTAAAATTTTTTATAATTTTTTCAAATAAGACGAACGGTCAAACGTTGGACACGGAAACTCAGGAATTGAGTTATTTTGGGACGGAGGGAGTAATGTCTTGTCTAATTGTGATACACCGCAAGCAATAATGATGCAGCACCATCCAACATGACCATATATATACAAGACCCCGTGATCTAGGTGACTCTAAAAGCTAATTTCTCTCTGTTTCATAATATAATATAAGTGATTATGTCTTTTTTTTTCAAAAATCAAGGAATTATCAAATGAACATGTGATGATACAAAGGTGATAGGTGATAGAATAAATAAGTTATCGTGAATCTTATATAGTATATGCAGTAGCAGAGCCAACTATCCCGAACTAGCTAAGCAGCCACCCAAGCTTCATTGTCGGTGCCATCACAATCGATCGCTGAAAATACCCGTAAAAATTAACCGACGATCAGAAAAAACACTCTTCGTTGCGATACTAGCCTGGCTTCGCTACTATTCTATTTGTACTTTTTTATGCCTTTTTAAGGGAAAATTCTCAAACAACTGTGTCCTGATGTTCCTAATTTGATTTGCAGTTGGAAAATGCTACTCCAGCTCTTTGTGATTACTTACGAATCGATGCGATTCAACATTTGCTAGCTTGAGGGATATATCAACTTTAGAGAGAGAAAACTAATAAAAAAGGATGATACATATGTTAGTCCCATCTTTTTCGATCTTTAATCATGCCAACACAAGTGGATACTGATCGACAGGTAAGTCCATTCGATCGATCTTGATCATCATATGGCTTGGGCCACATCCACATGCATGCATATGCCTCCAAGAAAACATTGAAGGGTCCAGACGCATTCCTTTGTATAATTTTCGAGGAAAAGGTTGCCACATTGATGGATGGATTGGATACTTAAGCTAGCAGCCGTTCTTGTCCGTATATATAGCAGCTTTCGATGTAGCTGACGGCTGCGATGTCCCTTTGGCCCAATTTGCTGATGATGTTGGAGATCGAGGCGGCTAGCAGCCACCACATCACATCATACTCCCTTCGTATAGTTTAGGACAATTTTTAAGTCAAACTTCAAGAATATAAATCATGAATAATTCTCAAGTTATTGAGTTTAAAAATGTAAAAATTATATGAATAGATTTGTCTTGAAAAATACTTTCATAAAAGTATACATATATCACTTTTCAATAAATATTTTTATAGAAACAAGAAGTCAAAGTTATGTTTTGAGGACCGTGTCGCTGTCCAAAACGATTTCCTTTACGAGTACGGAGGGAGTATCCTCGTGTAAAAGTAATTAAAAGCATCACCTACTGATTTGTTACCACCTATTCAATTTATTTTTTTAAAACAATTAACAGCAGAAGTTCCGCATGATATATTAGAAGGAATAAAGGGCCTGTTTAGATTGTAGCCAAAATAAACTTTACCAAATTTTGGTAAATGTCAAATTTTTGCGGGATTTCTTATGTATTTGTCAAATTTGACAACAAACTAAACATGGATATTTTTTTGATAACTTTGCCAAAAAAAATGATATGGTTGAAAATGGTATCAAAGTGAACAGGCCTAAAGAGTACCAATTATAACAATCAGCGGACAAAGGAAAAACGACAGGCTAGAGCACCAAGCTCTCAAAGCAGATTATAGGGGAGGGGACGACAATTGTTCGATTTACAGCAAGGAAAATAATCCACAATCGTAAACCATAATGCTCATTAGCGAGAAAAAAAGAATTAACTGATGAGTAATTTTTTTTATTATATATGTGTTCTTAGCGTTTTAAAATATGACACTGAAAAATAAACTATAACAAAAGCATTAAAATTAACTACAAAATGAAAGTTTTAGAATTTAGATTTTGGTTGCGGCTAATAAAGTGAAGAGCAAACGGTGGAGCTGACAGATTTTATGGAACTATATGCTGTAACTTTAATCCACAGTAAATTCTCTTTTCAGTAGCAATAGGGATGTTTATGCCAGGAAAAGATTACAGCGACTGCGAGATCACAAAAGTAAAATTAAGTGTTAATGTGTTATAGTACAAAGGATTGAGTGATTGATCAAACTGTAGAAAAGCTACAGGTGACCAGAAGTCAAGAGAACACTTTATTTCAGCAGCAACAGTTTTTCAAGATGTCCTTACCGTGCTGGACAATGTACCAAATGATTGGACTGCGATGAATCAGGATCCCAACTCACTCCTAAGTCCAAACACATCCAAACAAGCCATTGAATTGAACATGTAGCCCCTACATGATATGTCATGGATTATCGAACAAGTTTAATTAACACCTGATTATATAATTACTTATCCCAAAATCAATTCCATCAATTCAATTGTTTTTGCCAACCACTACATTGACCATCAATTCAATTGTTTTTGCCAACCACTACATTGACCATGCATGGAAAATCACTGCCTAGCCTACCCTAGCCTATTCAATCACCATATATACAGTAGAGTCACTAGAGCAAATATATGACAAAAGAAAAATCAGCCTTACAGATTAAAACATGATTTCCATGATCTGACGATGAACTCACTATAACTTATCTCATAGTCATCACCGTTGAATTCAGAGGTTTTGCAGCACATGTAAGCTGGGAGAACGATAGGGTAGCTTCAGTGCTCCAAATTCTCCAATCCATGAAGCTATACCTGGGGCTTGACTGCTTGACATTGAGTCGCTGACAGGTGGGGCCAGTGTCTATCCGGGCCTACCATTGCTAAGAGGAAATTAAACCGGCTCACATCACAGCCGCATTGCCCTGCAGTGCACACGTACGCCCAAGTCAACGGTCAAGGGTGAGGTTCCAGAGAAGATGTTGCTATCTGTTGGCCTAATTGTGGACCCAATGAAACCCATGGTTAATCCCTGTAAAAAAAAACATGCAAAAACACACACAGTGATATGTTAATATACAATATTATTATATGTGAAGATGTATACCCACTGGAAACGGAAGAAATAAAAATTGTCAGCTAGCTGTAGAAACTTGGAGAAGTCGGCACGAATAAAACGGAAGGATACAGAATGTGACAAGAGAATTACTAGAGTCCATACATATCAGCTCATCACCTGCCTATCACGATCAATAAGAGCAGCAAAAGGAGCATGTGGTCAATTCAGATTCGTAAGATATATGTTCTTATTATTACAGAAATATTCAAATGGTTTTGTTGTTGTCTGTCTATGAGGTGGTGATATGCTAATAAAGTGATGCAAGGGCTGGACTTTGGATTTTGGTCAAAGCTCAAAACTGAAAACCACTTGTGCATAGAGTATTGTCCTCTTCTGCTGCTCAATCAGCAACCGAGGATACAAGCGTAATCTTGATTGTGTTTGTCATCTTTAGTTTCTTGGACAACAATCTAGACATCTCGATATCAAGATGTCAGCATTAGAACTTAGGTGTATCAGGACAGTGGGTGCATTTTAATTAGCTGAATTTTCCCAATACTTAAGTCAACCACAACTAGCAATGTCATATATTGTATCGATTCAAAAGTAGTAGTATATTCAGTGCATAAACAACATGCATAAACCCACAGGATAGCTTAGACTACAAGAAGAGGGGATGACATTTGTCTGACTCTCGTCATGGTCCATGGTTGAACGATCAAGAACAGAGCAAAAATTGTATTGCTTTTTCCAATATAATTTGTAGTACTCAGCAATATGTCAAGCCCTCCAAAGGAATAGCAAGCCATTTTTTCATTTGCAAACAGGACAATTCAACAGAATAAGGTAAGCAGGTGTTTTCACCTTGGAACTAAGCCCTTGTTTAGATCCAAACTTTTTCTTCAAACTTCCAACTTTTTCATCACATCAAAACTTTCCTACACACATAAACTTCCAACTTTTCCGTCACATCGTTCCAATTTCAACCAAACTTCCAATTTTGGTGTGAACTAAACACACCCTAAAAAATGGTTTTGCCCAAGAAAACAACGTATCATCCGTCTCTGTGTATTTCAACAAAATGTAAGTGCTCTCAAAAGAAAGAAAGCAAACTATTTTTTGTTAATTTTTTGTAGTAAATAAAAAAATAGACATGCCCACTGTAATCTTATTAATACCACTAGGTAAGACAGTGGCATGCTTCACTTGTTTTATCTGCATCACTTAGCTGATATTTCTCCATCAGAATCTTAAAAGCTTGCAATTTTCAAGTCTGACTTTATGTGCAGAAAGTGAAATTCCCAGCTTAATCACACAATAGGCAGCAAACAACACTAATCCATCACTACCTAAGCACCTATTAGTAGACACGACAACGCATAAGACAATAACATAGTTAAACACTTGCTCAAGCTAAATATCAACCGTGGAAAATGTCTGCATCATCTTACCACTATCCACAGTAACCATGACCGTGATGCTGATATCCACGACTAGGGCACCAACCATATATTGTTTCAATCTTAAAATATCCCCAAAAATAAGAACTTTGTCACCATACGCTCCAAGATAGTCCAGGCTACACAGGTAGGCAGACAACCAGTAACAGCAATCGTGTCAGGCTGTAATAGTAGTTTGATTGGGCAAGACAGGCTTAGATCAATCACACTACCATAAAGTCATGCCCGACAGCACTAGAGGCTGCTCTGAGTGGCACTTAATCATGGATTATTTAGGTTCCCACTCAACATTAATCGATCGTGATAATAATGGACAATAAACAAAAGGCAACATAATTCATGCCCACTATGCGCTTAAACTACAATAGATGAGACATAAAGCGATGCAGCCATAACCACCTAATCAATAAACTAAGTTATGATGGATCCATTCCCCCAATAAATCAGGGACAAGGACACCCAAACAAATTGTTTGCAGGTACACTACAATCTTCAGCCAGGTGATTAAATACTACTAACTACTGGGAAGTGGGAAGTGTGAACATAGGATGAGAAAAAGGGGAGAAAGGTTAAGCAGTCAGCCTTGACTGGAAGTAGATACTGCCTTTTAGCCATGCTCTCCTGTTGTTGCCAATCCTTTTATTTTTCCAACTTCCCGTGGTTACATGATGACTGGATGCTTAAGGTTCAATGAACCACATGTTGGAAATGCAAGTCATCAGGCAAGCATGATTTGTATCTAACCAGATAAATACTTCCTCCGTTTCATATCATAAGACTTTCTAGCATTGCCCACATTCATATATATATATGTATATATGTATATATATGTATATATGTATATATGTATATATGTATATATATGTATATATGTATATATGTATATATGTATATATGTATATATATGTATATATGTATATATGTATATATATGTATATATGTATATATGTATATATGTATATATATGTATATATGTATATATGTATATATATATATGTATATATATATATATATATATATATGTATATATATATATTAATGAATCTAGACATATATGTGTGTCTAGATTCATTAACATCTATATGAATGTGGGCAATGCTAGAAAGTCTTATAACTTAAAACGGAGGTAGTACCATTTACCAAAATACTGTAGAAAAATAATACTATTTACCAAAATACCCAGTAAAAGATTCCATAGACTTTCGACAAATAAACACTTAAGCAGTGCACTCTACAATGTAACAGGTACAAGATCCTCAAAAGAGAGCCTCCCCTCATCATACTTTTCTGCCACATAAATCAAGACTAAAGATTGGTCATCTTTGCCTCAAAAGTGGCGCATCTTTGCTTCACCATTTTTGCATTGGATACATTTTGTGATAGTGACATGTGGTCATATTTTTATTCGTTATAACTCCTAGTATAATTTATTGAGCACTAAGGGCATCAGAGTCGAGAAAACCACCACTGACAGGCATATATGTTACCAGCCTGGCCACTCCAGAGTTTTCTGAAGAGCAGACGGATTTTACTAACTAGAGCTCACATTTGACTATTAAGTTAGTAAGAGTAGGTTTTAAGCTGATTAATGTGATTCCAACAGAACAGTGTGCTTTTGTATTTGCTCTTTCAAGGCCAGAAATATCCATCAAATTTGAGAGAGATAAGGGCATTTCCGCATATGCCGCATTCACGTTCTGGATAGTTTCTGCAAAAAACTGTGTGTTTTCAGTCAAGTTCTTTCTGAGTTCCACACTTCCACTATAGGGATGTGGACTTGTCGCATAGATACTCAGATAGTGACCATCTATGAAAGGACATCATTTCAGAATTCAGAGCTCTGCCAGAAAAACGTGGAACTTGTTATTTTCATTGAGTTTAGCAATGAAATTTATAGAATCCATGAAAGGGATCCCTCTTGGATGGTTTGGTTAATAGTCCAATAATTAAGAGAATGGCAAATTGAAAATATGGCGTTTCATGAAACACTCTGAGTGAAACAGATATTAAGGGCAAAAAGATGAAAATAAAACAGAACACTGACATGGGGGCAACATTGATGCACAGCACAGAGAAAGTAGAGAGCAAACTAAAACTTTGCATACCTACCAAAACATATTAAGTCTTCATTCTGGATCTTTCAACATCTTCTAGCAGTGTTTGCATTTTCTGCATGAAACTAACATTTAGTCTCAAATTGAATGGAACCAATATTAATAAAAAAATAACATATTTAATATTGTATTTAAAATATCTATAAAGTTGTAAAACAACAAAATGTAACCCCAAAAATATATAAGGCAGATCTGCAATGCTAGAGAATTAAACAGCACAGGAATTTGGCGGTAATACATCTATGACCTGCGGGTTTGGCTTGATGCCTCTAACCATCAAACTAAAAATCCAAAATTCTTGGACTCTCAGAAGCTTTTCATATTAAGTAGTACCATTACCCCTACACATGTGAGTTCTACAGTAAGTGTTGCTGACCGTAATCTATTCCACCCAAGGGCTCATACGTAAAGTACAACATTATCGAATTCAGAACAAGTATTGATTTTCACTGTAGGTGTTGGCACTACCCATGTTTCTATAATGGTATGAGAACAAAACAGAAGATAATTAAAACTTAGAGAAATTAACAGTGATACTGTAATTATCACCTTCACAGAGATTTCAACTTCGTCAAGCTTCTCAAGTATCAAATCTCCAAGAGGAGGAACCTGAAAAATTCAATGTGTTGTATATATATCATGCAAAACACGGGGATCAGTGAAAATGGTCTGTAAAATGAAAACATTAGCCAAGTTTAATAGGGTAATATGGAAATACAATCTTGACTTAGCAAAACCATGTATGTTGTTAGAAGCTATATATCTACAATACAATACTTCCTAAGGTATTATACAAACAGAACCTCGATATACAAAATATATGCTTGTTCTTAGTTTTATAACTATCGCACATTCAGAAAGGTTGGATCTCATAGCTCCAGGGCTTGCTAAATGCAAAGGATCTTTACAGTTTAAACTATTAAAAGGTACCATTAAGAAATAGACATACCGAAGACATAGTTATAGGTTTAGAACTCGTGCTCTGCTGATCATCGTGTACATAAGCTTTTCTACTGAGATTCAGATTGCTTGTATTCAAAAGATGGACAAGAACAGCCTGAAGAAAGCATGTCTGAATGAGACAAAAACTCGAGATAGACTGAGATAGATAAATCAAAATGTTTAGTACCTTCCTGAAATCATGTGGATGACTAATTCCAGTTATCTTTATGTCATCACTAGAAGGCTTTCGGACACCAATGTTCTCAAATCTGATTGAATATATACCAAAAAGTGATTGGAGATAACCTACAGATATCACATGAGTACAGTAGATAACTAAGCATATTGCACCAAGAGTGTCACTCATTTATTTAAAAAAAACAAGAACAAACTTCTTAACAAGTTAACATAGCTTTTCACAACCAAGGAAAGAACTGGATTTGCACTAACTCAACAAAAAGATGGAAAATGAAAATATATATATATCTCTCATAACCAAGTCCTAGCAAAAGCGCTTTAATAGTTTAGTAACAAGTCACAAACAGTCTTTTTAAATGAATCGTCACGAACAAGTTTGTTCTGCATTATTTTCAGCTTACCTTGTTCGACAACAATATCAGAAACTGAATGAAGGACAACATGCTTCTCATTCCTCAAAACACCAAAACAAGGAAAAGTGGCAGGCCTAGTTACCTGGATTATGAGCAGGGGTGTTAGATATATTAGTAAGAACCTAAGAGAGAAAACAAATAGAGTTTCCATCTCCTATCCAACATGCAGATACCTTATAGACAATAGCATGTGGAGTCAAACACAACTTCCTTGAGCGGAAGTCCTTCCGGCACACATATATCCAAATTGGCAAGTAAAGCAGCATGAGGAGTCCTACTCCCCAAGCTAAGATCAACAATACTGACAGCAGAATCCACCAAGTAATCTGATACTTGACAAACTTGTCTTCAGTTGCCTCAAATGATGCATCATAGAGGATCTCATCCTCACTTATTCCCTTATAATCATCCGGTGATAAACCAGCCAACAAGTGCCTTTCTAACACATCTACTTGTACTATTTCATCTGTAAATCCCATCTGTGATTGTACAAATCATAACTAATGTTCCAACTGAAAATACCTTAACTGGGAGCAATTAATGGGAGGTTGAGAAATAAAACAACCAACAAGTAAAATTAAAATTTCCTTAATCTGACCGTGCAAAAATTTAAAGCTAGCAGACACTCTGAAACCCTTCTTTTTTTCTTTTATTGAACGAACAGTCAAACCCAAATGATTCCAAACTGTACTTCGGCAATAACGAGTTGTCTACTAGTTGTTTGAATTTAATGGCTAGGGGGAAAAAACCCACACATTTAGCAGCAAGCAACAGATTGCGCAGGCTAGGTCAATTGCAGGACACGAACACACTGCTACTGCTAATAACTTCCAAAAATAGACGCATCAAACGAGTTGAAGCCTGAAAATCACAGCACAAGATTTCCTAGCACGAAGGAGGGCACATCGAATCATCGCCATAGCTAAGCAGAATTCCGGGAGCGGTTAAGCACGCCGCCGACTGCGACAGCGCAGCCGATTACGTTCCGCCGGCAAAGTCGGCAGCCGGTAGCTCGAATCGAGCAGGAACCGGCGCACCTAAGGTGCCCGAGCGAGCCGGAGTTACTACGAGACCGATCGAATCTCTTACCACTGGGGGGAGCAGGCGAGATCGCGGCGGAATTCGGCGCCGGCGGCGATGGCGACAACGGTGGCGGTCGGAAGGTTCGAGAAGAGGGAGGGAAGCGCAAATTTGGGGGAAAACAGAAAAGCTTCCGCCGCGTGAATACGTAAACCACCAAAGTACGCTTTCAGAAGGGAGACACGTAAAAATAGAGCTTGGCGCAGCGGAGCACGACCCGTTTGTTTGGACGTGGGCCGTGGGCCGTTATCCGGATGGGCCAAATATATCTAGCACGTTGCACGTATAGCCTGTTAGGTTAATTAGGCCTGACAATCCAGAGAAATGGTGCAAAAATGTCCAAAAGTTTGTGTACAAACCTTTAGAGTTAGAGATGGTCAAATGGATCCATAAATTTGATCGATCGATCGATCGTGTGAGTACACACACGTTCAGGATCGATTGATTAAACCATAGTTGCTCGCAAAAAGAAAAGGACAGAATTGCTAATTATTTGTTGACTCGGAAATTTCACTGCTAAATCTTGCACTCTTTTTACCATTGAGGATGTTGTTTGAGATTGGCCCCGAGATTCGTGAGCGACAGGGGAACAACAAATAACATATGTGCATGCAGTGGCCGATACCACTGAGCAAACCACATTTTTCTTATTGTTACATACCAGTTATATCCTACTTATATTATGATTATATACTGATCACATTGAAATTATACTATTACTATATTATATTTATATTTGACAGTTTTTTTACGATGTTATTTTTTGTCAAATATTATATATACAGTAAAAACGAGGTCAATTTAACCGTAGACAAATATATTCGCTTTGAAGTACTCCCTCCGTATTTGAATGTATGACACCGTTGACTTTTCGACCAACGTTTGACCATTCGTTTTATTCAAAATTTTTGTGCAAATATAAAAATATTTATTTCATGCTAAAGAACATTTGATGACGAATCAAGTCATAATAAAATAAATGATAATTACATAAAATTTTTGAATAAGACGAATGGTTAAACGTTAGACAAAAAGTCAACGGTGTCATACATTAAAATATGGAGGTAGTACTCATCTTGCATGGAGGGATTCAACTATTTGCCAATCTAAGAAACATCCGCTCTTCAAATGTCACTTCTAGAATCGTTCTTATGGTTTTTTCCTAGGGGATGCTTGTTTCAGTCTGTCAAACTTTTTACAGCTAAGATGTGGCATGCCACACTTGATGTGGCTGAGAAATCCTTAACCACAAGTTAGGCAAGCTTTGGCAAAGAGATGTGCCTATGGCTTGTGGGGACACAAAACAAAAAAGTGTGGCATGACAATCATGTGGTAATCAAACAAAACACTAGGTTAAGTTGGTCAAAGTTGTGACAAAGTGTGGTCACCATCCAAACACCTCATACTTCTTAAGTTTTTGTGTAGCGTGGCTTGACCTATGGATGTCCAGCGTGGAATGCAAAGGCGGAATCTCCATTTTGCACCTAGTGGATCCCACAAGTCATCCTCTCTATTTCGTCCTCAACCACTGTACATAGGGCCTTAGGATAAGGAGCGCTTGCTGCTAGGGCTAGGGAAAGGATGAGCATTAAGTCCCAATGACCGCTTGCCGACCGGTAGTGGGCCACGGCAGACCGACGGTGGCCGAAGGGGATCTAGCGGCAATGCATATTGTGGTCGATTTGGCCATGGATTTTTTCTCGCCAACAGTCATGGAATCGTTGATGCTCGAGGATAAGGCAATGCGACTTGAGATCCTAGAGGTAAGTAACGAAGAATGTAGGAGGGAGGAGGAGGCTCGGGGGATCGAGAAGGCGGCAACAGCGAGTTGCCTTCCTCAACTGCTGGAGAGGGTAGCTCGAGGTGGTGACAACCATTGTTACAACGGTCAGTGGACATGCCTCTTCCCTGTCGATCTCCACAACCATTATCGTCGCCTATGCATGCTAGGTCTGGAGAGGTTGGTGGCGTGGTGGCTTTGTCTAGGACCAGACCTTCTGCAGCGATACATCATCGATGCCACCGGCGCCGTCTCTCGTAGTCATCCTACCTAGCATCCATCACGATTTCACTTTGCTTCCTCAATGAATTTTTTTTCTACCACTTGGGAGTGGGAAGGGAAGGTCGAGTGCGTCATGTGCGTGTGTTGTTGGGTCGGGCTTGAGTCGACGTGGCAAAGTCGGTGGTATTGCGGTGGCGATGGTTTGTGCCAGACTTGGAGAGGGAGAAAATGAAAATTACTTATCACTCGGCCATACAGATTGTCCTAGTTGTCATGCCACATCAGCAGAAATGTAAAGAAAAATATCAAGAAAATTTCTCCCACTGATGTCAAATTTCTAAAGATAAATATAAAAGTGGCATTTAGAGAAACACAAATTATAGAAGTGACAAATAATTAAATTCACAAGTTACACGGACCTTCGGTTCCACTGAACTCAAGCTCTAGCATTCCGCTACTTTACATCGCTTTGATTGATTGCCTGATGCGTCTGGGTATTTTGGAAATGCGGTGGAATTCGCATGGGCAAATAAGTGCAGTGCAGTCGTGCAGGTACTGTGTACTATAGCCTCTCTCTCTCTCTTTGCCCTGTGTAGCTAGTGTGGTTGGACGTCGTCCTGCTCCTGCCTGCCTCGTCTGCTGCATGCAGATGCCGCAGGGCAACGCAGCCTTTGTCTGCCCGCGCGCCCGAATCGCCCACACACGCATCACGCACGCCACGCCACGTCGTGTCTGATCCGTTTCACCCAAACCGGGCCTCTCTAGTCTCTAGCCCCTGCACGGGCACAACTGCACCGTGCGCGTTGCACGTACGTAATATATGCTGTGCCGCGTGCGTTGGACTTGGACATCGAGTGCGCGCGAACGCCTAACATATTTTTGTGATCATTAAACCGTGTGTGCTTCTGCTCTGAAATTCTTATAGCATTTTTTTGTTACTAAAAAGTATAAACATATATCTTTTGTTAGTAATACTAGTAGTAATATTCTCACTTTGTTGTAGGGTAGATCAACTTGGTTACCACTTGTCACTTCCTCAAAAAGGAAAATAGGCGTTAGGATACAGGGTAGAGACTATTCGTGACAACTTGACTACTTCATTTATTGTATTCCTTTCAAAGAAAAATGTGCGTCGGCATGCAATCGTGTAATTATACTTCCATTTAATTGTTAAGTTACACAATACTATACCTAGTTGAAACAAAGAAAATAAAATGTGATCCACATGTATTATATACTTATTATTCAATAAGTAAGCTACACGACTATACCTTCATAAAACAATAGAAGAGAAAATACATGCTAATATAGTAACTGCCGACTAGCTTATCACAATTCTCAAAATAAAAAATGTCACAAACTACAATTTTCATCATTTAATAGTGAATGCAATATTTCAGTACTCACTAAATTACAAACAATTTTAAGGAAGACATGTAACGGCTGAAACTAAACTAGGAGTACTGTAGACATGAAGAGCAGAAAGTGACAAATAGGGGATGCATCATCGTCGTCATCCTCCACCTCAACCTCATCCGTACGCGCCATCCCAACCTCCTCCTCACCTTCACAACCCCCAAGAACGATACGCATGGGACCCACCCCACAACCCCCAACCCACCTCCCACACGCACCAATCCATCACCCAACCCCCACTGACACCTAGGCCCCACCCCTCCAGCCCCACCACCCGGCCCCATACGTCAGCCACATCACCCAAACCAACCCCACGTAAGCAAAGCAAACAAACCCCCCTCCCCTTCTGCTCCGTGGCAGCGGGCTGTCCCCTCTGCCTCTGACAACGCGCAGCGCCACAAGAGACAAGGAGGGTGCTCGTTGGCCCCACCTGCCAGCGACACAGCGGAGGAGGGTTGGGCCCACCTGGCAGTGACTCATCGGGGATTTCAAACGCGGGTGGGGGGTTGGGTTTGGTTTTGGCGTTCCCGTGTCCGCCATGATCACCGCTGCGAGCCTAGCTTGCCCGAAACGGCAAAGCTACAAAACTTTTTTCTCTCGAGAGAGAGGGGATGCAAAAGCTGATTCCTTGCAGCGGCAGGAGTGGGTAGTCGCAGCGGATCAGACACACGAACAGAGAGAGGACGAGAGAGAGGGGTGGAGCAGACAGCGAGTACTTCGCTTTTGTTTGGTTTGTCTCCTTCTTCCCCGTGGTGAGTTGGTGGAGGAGGAGGAGAGGAGTATTTGAGATTGGAGAGGAGGAGGAGGAGGAGGTTGGTGCAGTGCTGGGTGCGGTTCGGGGAGAAGCTAGCGCGGATGGGAGAGGTGAGGCGGCCGCGTCCAGCGATCGATCGAGGGGATGGTTTTTCGCTTGAGAGAGCATTTGGTTTGATGTTGATTCGGTTTGGGGGGTTTTGGTTGCGTTGTTTCTCCGATTCGTCTGATTTATTTTTTTTTGAGGGGAAGATTCGTCTGATTTTGGTTGGGTTTTTCGAGGATTTTCGCTGGGATCCGTGTGGTTTTGGCCTTTTCTGGGAGTTTCGTTTTGTTTCCTCGGAGCTCTCGCGAGCATGGCGTACGTTGCCTCTGTTGCTCGCCGAGGCGACGAGAGGGGGGAGGAAATGGTGCTCCAATTCTGGTGGTTTCGTCGTGAGATGTTAGGGTTTGACGAATCCTCGTGAATTAAACTTGCCGTTATGTATATTGCGATGATGACGGTTTGTTTATCCCTGCCTCTCTCTTTTTTTTTTCGCTTGTGCTTTTTGCGTTTTGTGCGGGTTTGGGAAAATTTGTGACTGGCTTGCGGATGCTTTGATCGTGCGGTTTGATTTCTGGATTTTGGATTGATTTTGCCTCATTTGACAAGGATTTTTGACCCTTTCCCGTGCAAAGTAGGGGAATGCTTCATCATTTTTTTTTCTTTTTCAGAACTTCCATTCGGATTTGTCCGATGCACAAGTCATCCATGCGTACTGCTAATATGCGTCGTCCAGTGTTTTGGAGCTTCTGGAACTTGGATTGACCAGTGCTAGGGTTTTAGGTGCTGTTCGTTGATGGCTCATGGCTTCATGCCTTATTTTCCTCTTTTTTTTTCGTGGAGATTTGGGTTTTTGTGATGATGTGCATTCGTGTGTATTCCACCTATTTGTGGTGCCACGATTCGACCAATTTCAGCGGGCGTGCGAAATTTCAGCGCGTTTTTGAAAAGTTTTTGTGGTTTCATACTGTTTCGTTTGTTTTTTTTGCTGCGAGCCTGCGATTCGACGTGTGTTTTGTTTTTTCCCACGTTTTTTTTTTTTGCAATCCGAGCGAGATTCCAAGTTCCTCCTCGTATCGAGCAAACCTTCCTTGCTGGTGTTTCCCCATCTTCCGTAGCTTCGTTTCAATCTCGGGCGTCTTGTCACACGTCACGACGTGTCATTCGTTTCTGTCTGCGACATCATGTGATTCTCTGAGCTTTCGATTCGATTCCCCGTGATTTTACGAGGGCTTTTGTCTTTGGAAGCGAAAGGAAATTGCAATGGCGCTCATCAAATTTTGGTCCCTTTCCTGCTTGTTTTCTTGCACCTTGTCGTGCCTGCTTAAAAGCCGAGGCGACTGATGGATTCGTGGAATTCCATTCTTGTGTATCTGTCTGCAGTTTCAGTCCCATCTCCTGCTTCTTCCGCTTGCTGCTTTTGTTTGAAAATGTTTAGCGTACAGTGCGGCGATGGCTCGAGTTTCGTGGGTTTCTTTCGGTACAGAGATGATATTTAGTTTGTTGATTTCGTTTATATGTGCCTATGAATTTTCGGTTGATGCAAACTTGAGCGAAATTTATTTATGTGTTCGTTGTGTTCATCTGTGTTTGAAGAGTTCGTTTTGTGGTTTGATTTTGTCAGGGCGCGAGTGAAGAGACCGGGAGCATGGATCGCGCCAAGGCAGCGGCGCGCGAGGACAAGGCGGCGGCGGCGGCGACGGGGAAGGAGACCGCCGTGTCCCGCGCCGTCGCGGAGGACGACACCGCGCTGCTGCTCGCGGCGGTGGGAAGCTTCAGGAAGGAGGCGATGGGCCGTCTCCGGAAGGGCTCCGACGCGTCGCGGATGCTGGACCAGGAGATGTCCACGAGGCTGCTCCACCTCGCCTGCAAGCACGACGCCGTGCAGTGCGCCAGGCTCCTCCTCGAGGGAGGGCACGGCATCACGGCGTCGCCCGTGGACGCCAGGGACCAGCTCACGCGGACGCCGCTCCAGGTCGCCGCCGAGGCGCACTCGGCCCGGTGCATCGAGCTGCTGCTCTCCAAGAACGCGCGCACCGACCTCAAGCTGGTCGATGGCCGCCCTCTTGTCGCGCTCGAGATCGCTCTCTTAAGCAGAAGGTGATGGTGACCACTGAGCTCACTTCTCAAGTTCTCTCCATGCAATGGCTGTTTTTCTGACTGATGTTCTTATCCAGAGCTCAAGTTAAATGGTCACTGGACAACTCCATTGAAGATCTTCTGTCATCTCTGCAAGAAAAGGTTTGTATGGTTACTAGTACTACTAATGTTCATTCACTGTCTCATAATTGGTCCATAGATCTTCTCACACAAAAATGTCACCTTGTTCCATGTGTAGGATCTGAATGCAGTGAGGCTCCTGGCAGAGAAAACCAGAGAGGTTGGGGAGGTGGCCTACAGATATGCCATGGAAGGTCGTGTTACTGTGTTGGCAATGCTGCTTCTGGTGGCTGAAGAGAAGATATCGGCACCAGTCAGTGTAGTTATAGAGGGCGTCAGGACAAAGAAATCAATCTACTACTCTATTGTGGATGAGGCTCTGTCCATTGGGGATGCTCCAGCCCGGGACAGCAATGAGAGGAGAAAGGCCCTGCTCAGTGAGATTCAGCTACTTAACCAATTTGGGGCAGCGTTATGGAGAGATCGCAACATTGACAAGAGAAGCTTGCCCCCTCTGCTTAAAGCTGCCAAGGTACCTCTGTTCATATTGCTGTTCTTGTTGACAGTTCACAGAGCTATTTCAGAATTTCCTTGCTTGACACTTTATATGGTATGCATACTGATGAGTTACAATTAATACCATGTAAGCTGAGCTTTTGAGTCATTTTCATGCCCTGCCCAATTTCAAAACTGATTTTTCTCCAATTATGGTCCATGCAAGAATGCTTAAAATGTGCTATGCTTAAGGTAAAGTTTTTAGTGCTACAACTGTATATACACCAGAAGACTTTCTTCTGACTGACCTTTCTACTGTAGGTTGGAGATGTAAATGTCACAAAGATGCTCCTGATGGGGGATGTTGATGTCAATGAAGCCGATCCTGAAGGGAACACGGCACTTCACTGGTGCCTTAGTGGTAGCTCAAGCACACAGGAGCCAAGGTATGCTATTAGAATTTTGTTCTATCAACTGTTAAAATACAACATACTAGTTCTTACTGCTATTTGCATTCTCTTTACTTAGTTGTCTTCTGTATTTGTGCAGGATTGTGTGGCTCCTGCTGAAGAATGGTGCCAGAGTTTTCCAGGGGAACAAACTTGGTCTTACACCAGTACACAGCGCTGCAGCTAAGGGAAATTATAAAGCTCTTCAGGTAGCCTTTTGTAACTTCTACTCACACGATGGCATTTTTTGAGCTTATAACTAATTGATAGTATGTTTGTTTGCTCTGTAAGTCACTTCTGCTTCATGCTCAAGATTGTGTTGATACTCCTTCCAAGACCAAAGAAACCCCATTGTTCTTAGCAGTGAAGAATGGTTCTTTGGACTGTGTAAAGCTTCTCCTGCGTTCTGGGGCTAGCACCAAAGTCCAGAACCTAAGGTGGGTAATATTTGGATTTAAGAAGAATATGCTTCTGTTTGACGACTTGATGCACTTACCATCCTTTGATCCTTTGACATTAAACAGAAAGCAAAGACCAATAGACGTGGCAACGTCCCAAGATATGCGTTTCATTCTTACCTCTGCAAATGTGGCTCCATGTAAGATATTTTCTGACATTTAAAGATATTTATCAACTGAAATCACAAAAATATTTGTAGTAGTGCATACAATTAGCAGTGTTCGATTCAATGAAAAAGATTTCAAGATTGGTTTCCTGTTGGTTTTACTGCATAACGATCAATACGCGGCAAATACCTTTTCAACTGAAATATATTCTGTTTGTAGGGAACCGTAGCTCACATCCAAAAAAAAGTGTGACGAATAAGGAAAGCTGCAAAGAGTTCCTGGAAGATTTTGGTGATTATGACAGTGATGATTTAAATGAAAGGTATGTCCGGTGCATACTGCATGATTTATATTAGATCTTCCATTCTTTTGCATACTAGAACCTTTGCTTCTCATCCTACGTTTCAAACTAATATATTTATTTTGATAATGTGGCAGCTTTACTGGGCTTAAAACATCAGCAAGCCATCGGGATTTCCGGTCTAGTAATGGTTCTGCCCAAGGGGGCAAGAGTAAGAACCATTGTGCTCCCAAGCAAGGTTCCAAGTTTGTGCCTCGGGTAAACAAACATACTCTGCCTATATTAACCAATTCCCTTTTTCTTCACATGGTCTGCCTCTTATAAGATTTTCTTTTAGCCTAATCATTGGCCGAAGCACGACTACACTCGGAAAATTTTTGTTGGGGGCCTCCCACCTTCTGTGGGCGCTGGTAAACTTCAGAATCCTGAACTACTTGTACTTAATAAAGTTAGAACTAATGTGTTTCTAAGTTCTAACACTTACCTTGTTTTGTTCTTCCTGGCAGAGTACCTCACTGAGTTCTTCACTGCTGAATTTGGACCTGTGGAGGAAGCAGTAGTCATTGGGATAAGGATGGGTGATCGGGTGCAATCTCGAGGATTTGGTTTTGTAAAGTTCAAAAGAGAAGAGGATGTGATAAGTGCAAAGGAAACTCATCATGTGTACATGCTTGGGAAGAGAGTGGAGGTAAAGGATGCTGTTGCTAGAGGATCCTTGCCTGCAGAAATCCAGAAAATTGCTCCATTCAGGCACCACAGCCAGGAGGTTCCAAAGGTAACTCACCATCTGTTGGATGGTGAGCTAAAGGAGGAACATTACATTAGGAAGCGCCGGCCCTTGCCAGAGAAGTGTCTTCCATCTTGGTTCTTTATATTCAGGAAGTGGTTGCCAGGATTTCTTGCAGATGCTACCGAACGACTTGGAGATAGGTACCCATTGAGCTCCCTGAAGGGTGATTTCAGAGCAATTTGCAGAATGGAGCTTGATCATGGCACACTTGGTTATCCTAAGCTCAGTGATTTCATGCGTTCCCTTCCTGGTATCTGCAGAATGTGTGTAGTCCCTGTAGGAAGTGGTCCTGCCACACACATGGTCCTCCTTCCACCGGTCTCGCGACCGAAGTATGTACCCTTGCTGGAACCATTCTCTTTTGATCATGATGAGCTCCCAGAATCAGTGTCAGATCATCAGTCCCCGAGGTCTCCACTTACCACTAATATCACCGAGGACTCCCCTCATAACACAGACAGTCAGCAGGGTGATACTTGCAGTGAGAGCAATGTGCAGAGCCATCAGGGCGATGAGTGCTGCGGGAGCAACACTGAAAGCCAGCAGGATAGTGCTTCCACTGACAATGGTAGCTTACTGGGTGAAGTTACTGTCAGTACCCCAAAGCCTGATTCCATTGAGTCCATACCTACAGGAAAGTCTGATTTGATTGAGCTTGTACCTACAAGAAAACCTCATCTGATTGACACAGTCACTACAAGAAAACCTGATTTGATTGTGACTGAACCTACAAGAAAACCAATTGTGATTGAGCCTGTGCCTACAAGAAAACCAAGTGTGATTGAGCCCGTGCCTACAAGAAAACCAATGGCAATTGAGCCTGTTGTGCCTACAAGAAAACCAATTGTGATTGAGCCTGTTCCTACAAGGAAACCAATTGTGATTGAGCCTGTGCCTACAAGAAAACCAATTGTGACTGAGCCTTTGCCTACAAGAAAACCAACTGTCATTGAGCCTGCATCTCTTACTCAGAAGATTGTTTCTGAGCCTATGAGGAAGACTGATTTGTTTGAATCTGGACTTGCAAGGAGGATTGGTTTGATTGGTTCCAGACCAACAACATGCTTCGTTGACTGTCCAGTTGAAAGGCCAGCAGTAACTCCAAGCAACTGTGAGGCTGATATGAGATTCTCTTTCTTCCAATCACAATGGGACAGGTTCCTGGTAAGTGATCTTGTGAGATTTACATTGCTTAGTTGCTTGGACTGAGAACTATGCCTAACTTGGTTCTTTCTACTTTAGGCTCCATATCCCAAGAGTGATTACTGCATCATCTGTCGATCCTATGATGCTGTGATGCAGCTTGTCCCATGCCTTCATAAGATTTGTGTTGCCTGCATGATGAGATGCAATGTCAGGGCATGCATGACCTGTGGCACTGCTGTAAGTGGAGTCAAGTCTTCCCCTGCACAGGATGCAAGATACCAATATGTGGTAATAATTATCTCCAAACAGTGGAATTTCTTCTGATGTTCCCTTTTGAAAAATTGTTTGATATATATTTATCTACTGTGTTTCAATGGGATATTTTTTCAGACTGTTAGAAACTAGCAAAGGATCAGGATGCTTACTGCTGTTTTTACTTGACCAGAGTTTATGATTGAATGTGTCTGATGTCTGATCGATCATCTGATATGCAGGGAGTCATGGAGCGTGCATCAGATCAAAGGTGCCAGCTGATGGTGGTCTGCCGTGGAGCTGAGGCGATTGTCAGATGTTCCCCCTGTATGCACAGCATCGCATGTCGAGGATGCTTCCTGGCTTCAGTAACATTACTCAAGGGCTGCACCACTTGTGGCTGCATGATTGAGCACTTCAAGTTTTGTTGAGTAGGCTTACTTCCCTGATACAGTAATACCAGAACTTACATTACTATATAGAATAAAGCAAACAGTCCCACAATCTGAAGGAGAGATCAGTTCACTCTCCTTCGATTTTGCTGCGCTCGTGGGATGAGCTAACAGGCTACTCGGTTAGGTGCGCTCACTCCTGCAAGCTTGAGGAGTGCTCTTTTTGCTTAGAAATATGTTCTCTCGAATGCTTGATGGACATGCTTCTGTAAGCTTGTGATGAGGAGTGTGTTCCCTCCCATTTTGGCAAGCTTACACTATATATGCCATGTAATGTCCACTATCTATCTATAATGGCACTCTTTTTTGTAAATTCAGTACTATTTAAGTAAGATGGATTCTGTTTAGCTTTATCTCTGGGTGTTTCTGTGGTTTAGATGTTTAAGCATGTCTTTTTGTTGTTTTAATCTGCTACCGCTGGAGCGTGCTGCTCTTTCTTGTGGGTAAAATTCAATTGAAGTTTGTCGTTGGATGATCTGTTGTAATGTTTTGTGTTGCATCTTTCCAGAACACACTCAGTTCCAGGCGTTCATGAATTTTTTTAATGTGTTCAGGAAATTAGGATCAGAACCGTTCTGCTTGCTTGATCTATCATTCCAGGATGATGTGACTTGGTTTCAGACAGGGAGCATTCCATGTATATCTTGCAATTGTTCATAGATTGAAGGTGTAAGGCATGCTAAGTCCGTTGGGTGATTTCTTTGCATTTCAGTTGTGTATGTCAGATTCCTCTTGAAGGTCAAAGTTGAATTTTGTTAGAATGTTTAAAAAGAAGATTTGTGTATGCATATTCATTGGTATCAGCTAGGTGGAACTTTTCAATCCTTGAAAAGAGCAGGTAGTATACTCTACTTTCGGCTGGAGCATGGATTTGTATTCTTTTTCCCCTTGAATTTGATTCTGATAAACCCGAATTTAATAAAAAAGAATACTAAATATTTGATTTGTAAACTGTCTTGGCAAGATTAGTGTGGAACAGCAATATTACCTCACATGCCTTTTTTTTTTCCTTTTTAGAAACCATACAAAGTCTTCTTGATCTCTTCAGCTAGTCAACTGCAGCCAAAATTCATACAAAATGTTTGAATCGTTTCCCAAAGAAGGAAATATTGACAGGAAGTAGCAGCCAGCAGCAAGTTTTGAAGTTCATATATACCCTAACTAACCCCTCTTCCCAATTTCTTTCAGCATCCGGTCTCACACACATTCTTGATTCCTTATGCGAAATGAAAAGCTTTCCAAATTCTCTTTGATGATTATACTCAATATAAGTAGTGCATTTGGCGACGGTCTTTCTCACCGTAGGGAAACGAAGCGTCGCCGTCGTTGCGCCGCCGCGGCATCCTCCGGGCCGACCGGCGGGGACGAGGCCGGCCTCCTCCGCCTCCGCGCAGCGGGATGAGGCCGGTGCCTTCGCCCTCGTCGACGCTCGGCCCCCGCCGTCACCGGGGCGGCGGCGCTGTCGTCGCCGAAGAGGCCCTCGCCCTCGGCCTCGCCGGCCCAGGAGCGCCCAATGCCGCCGCCTCCGCCTCCCGTCCGGCGTGGCTGTGGAGGGGCGCCGCCGTGGGTGGATCTCCGGCGCGCGGCCAACGTCCGTACCGTTGGTGCTAGATCCAACGGTCATATTTTTCACCCCATTCGGGAGTTTTACAAGGTAAAAATAACACTTCCCAAAATTTCGACAAATTATCAACATTGTTAAGTTTCCGTAAGATAGGCTAGGGTTATCAAAATTTAATAGACATTACCAATATTCGGCAACAAACTAAATACAACCACATAATTATTATTTTTTATTTAATAATGGTATGATTTGTAATGACATGAATATAAGTATTTGGATAGGCCCAAAAATTGCTCTGTTTTGAATTGAAATCCTCTTAAACTTTCTTTTTGAACTACATCGATTTGTTTCCAAACAAAAAATTCTAAAATTCTCTACCATTTCAGTTTCATCCTCCTCTCTGCCTACAAAATCAAACCAAAAAAAAAAAATCGAGCAACGCATCATTCACTGCGTGTCGAAGTAGGCATCCCACCGGTGGTCGTCGTCGTCGTCGCCTCCGGGAGGGAGCCCTTGCTTGATCCTCCTGACCCTCTCGATGACGCCGTCGACGGCGACGTCGATTGCGTCCGTGAACCCGCGGGCCGACGGCGCCCGGGGGTCCCTGTACACGACGGTGGGTATCATCCTGATCACCTGCTCCCTCATCGCCGCCACCCTCGCCGCGCTCACCCGCCGGAGCACGTCCTCCAGCCTCACCGTGCCGTTGCGCACGCCGTCCTCCGGGACGAACACCGAGTAGGCGGCGTGGTCCCGCGGCAGGTGCCACCGGTACTGGGTGTAGGCGGAGCCCGGGTGGAAGAACACCGGCACGCAGCCGGCGAGGATGGCGTCGAACACCGACCGCCGCGTGTACGAGTCCCCCCGCGGCTGGAGGCAGAAGGCAGCGCTCTTGAACAGCCGCATCACGTTCCCCGGGTCGTAGCAGTCGTCGCGCCTCCCGCGCGCCCCGCACCGGAGCAGCCCGCACCGCCGCGACCGCGCGCACTGGGCGATGACGCGGTCGCGCACGACGCCGCCGCCGTGGTGTCGGTCGTGGTCGTCGCCGTTGCCACGCCCGGCGCCGGCGAACGCGAACAGCCACGGGCGGCGCGCGCGGCGCGCGTCGCGCTGCCAGGACGACACGTCGGAGGGGCGCCACGGGTGGAAGTAGGTCGGGTACGGCACGGCGACGTCGGTGCGGCGGTGCCACGGGCTCGCCTCGATGACGAGCGCCGTCATGTTCATCGCCTCCGGGAGGAGGAGGAGGCGGCTCCCCCACTGGCTCCCCTCGCCGCCGCCGTCCTCGCGGCGGAAGTCCCACGCGATGCGGCCGCCGACGAGGAAGTGGTCGCGCCCGCCGTGCGCCGCCCACGCCGGCGTCCCGCGGAGCCACTCGGCGAGGTCCTCGGCGAGCAGGTCGCGGACGCCGTTGCTGAACCCCCACAGGTAGCGGCCGACGTCGAGGCCCGGGTAGTAGGGCACGTACACCGCGGCGGCGCGCGACGCGTCGGCGGTGAGGCAGCCGTACCGCCTCATCCGCGCGTGGAAGATCACCTCGAGGGTGAACTGGTTGGTGTCGTACCACCCGGTCGCCGGGAGCACGCCGCCGCGCGCCGCCGGCGGCAGCCGCGGCCCGATCCCGCCGTTGGCGACGTGGCGGCACATGTCCGTCCACTCCGACAGCGTCCGGCAGTCGCGGAGGAGGTCGGAGTTGAACCGGCTCGGCAGCTCGTGCATGTACACGTACCTCCCGGCGCACCTGTCCCTCCTCGCCGGACGCCCTCGACGCGGCGGCGGCGGCGGCGGCGACGTCGACGGTGGTGGAGGTGACGCGTCAATGATCGGCGGCGGTGGCGGCGTGTCGCCGGCGCGTTGCACCGGCAATGTGACGGCCGGGAGGAAGCCGTCGCGGCGGACGGCGACGTCCGGCGACGGCGAGGGGAAGAAGAAGAGCACCCACACGACGCAGGACGCCGGGATGATCAGCGGCGCGAGGCACCGCCCCGTCGCCCGGAGCGCCGCCGCCGATCCATGCGAGCCATCCATGGCGGCGGCGGGAACCGCCCTCGCCGGCCGCCGATCACGCATGCGTCGCCGGCGTTGCCGGCGAGCCGCTCATCGTACGTGTTAGCTGTTCGACAAACTGATCGAATTCAACGCGATTTCTTCTTTCTAATTGCAGATCATCCTCCATCAATTTCCATTTTGGATTAAATCTTTTTTTCCGTACATGATTTCGTATAGGCGTTTCATGGTAAACACGTGGTTACTGGTTAGCCACCCAATTTTGATTTTATTTTTTTATTTTCGAATGGTCATGCCGTTGCTGACGTTTTATATATATAAAAAGAAGATATCCCATTTTAAGAAGAAAATATGATCAGACCTTACACAGTTAATTTATTTTATTTTATTGATATAATCGTTGCAGTTTGGAGTGCTTTTCTAAGGTTTGAGACGCATGCAAGCGTACGAATTGGCAGTGCTAATTATGGGATCATTATGCATGATGGTTGGGTGCAGGTTAGGCATGTTTCTTGAAACCATTTTTGTGTTTGGATTGCGTTTTGGTTATGAATTCATTCGTTGTGACTTGAATGATCTATAGTTTGTTATTCAGAATTTACAGGGTTTTTTTTTTCGATTTGGTCTGTACGTCAACCGTCAACTGCTATATAAAACTTGTAAGTTAGGTTTTAATTAAAATTTAAAATTTTGGAGATTGGTTATTGTTCCATGGAAAAGATGTGAAGATTATTGCAGTCATAAAAGTCAGTTGATATCTTCAGCAAAGAGATCATGAAGAGACCTTGTTTTTATTTTAGTTTTCCAAGTGGAAATGGTCAGTAAACCAAGCAATTAACCAACATAGTGTGTTTGTAACGCCACGTGGCACAGTAGCAGCAATATCCGTGAATTAGAATGCTCAGATTGAGAATGTGAAATATGATATGCTTGATTCAAATCCGTTTTGATGAATTGACATGGAAAGCAACTGATGGTTTTAAGATGAAATTGAAAGAAACATGCATGGATTCAATTTGTCCCTGCAAAAGTGTATACAGGGGTAGTAGTAATCAGCATATGCATGCATGGATAGATGACGATTACCCCCAATCTGAAAAAAATGAAATTACTGTCAAACTCAAACCAAAGGGTTCAGGTTTTAAGCTAACACATTCAAACAAGCACTACAGGGAGGGATACAGGGATTATTGGAGTACATTGCTCCATCATAACCATATCCAGCAAATATATATATATAGATATGTCAAGTTATCAACTGGTACTCATATTTCAGCATAGTAGATCAAATAGTCGCAGCTCCAACTTTTTCACATATCACATTAGTAAGCCGCAAAATGCATAGAACAAGCAGTAATATTAAAATGCAGCTTTAGCTAGCAGCTGATCATTGCTAAGCATCACTGAATGACAGAAGTGAAACAAAATTAGGGGTGCAGGATTAGTAGTATAACTCCGTACTAATTAAGCCATCAATAGCATGTTTAGATTTCTTCCAAGTTCCAACACCATCATCACATGACCCAAAAGAAAAGTTCAGATTTTTAGAGTGATGATCAACCATGAACTCTTAACTACTGATGCACTGATCAACTAAGCCATATCACCATACTTAATTAGGGTTCTTCCAGCATCACAAACAGATTCAGACTCCACACTGAAACCATCCAATAGATGAGCAAGTAGTAGCAACTACTAATAACATGTATGTATCTAGAGCTTCCTGGACAGCAGATTTCTTCATCAGTCAGAGGCAGAATCCGTGTAAAAAGCAAAAAAGAAATAGAGATGGGAAACAAAGGTGTCGGTGGCGAAAAGCGGCGACGCTCTCGCGCATGCGGAGCGTGATACCGAGGGCGGTCTCGCGCGTGCGTACCGCGATACCGAGCCTACTGTCGCGCCCTCGATGCACTCGCTCTCGCGCACGCGTAGAGCGAGACCGCAAGCGGTCTCGCGCCCTCAAAGCGCGACAGCGCTGCCCCACCTCGCTCCTCGCTCTCGCGCACGCGTATAGCGACACCGTGTTCGGTCTCGCGCTCCCAAAGCGCGACGCCGCGGGCCCACTGCCCTCCCCCAGGCTTTCTCTCTCGCGCGCATGCCGCGTCAGCAGTCTCGCACACGCAAAGCGCGATACCGCGTGCCCACGTCTTCCCCGTCGCGTCATAACTGGTCTCGCGGTTTCATATTACGAAACCGGCCTCGGTCTCGCGCAACGAAAGTGCGAGAGCGATGGCTCCGCCCGAGGTAGTCGTGGGGATTTCTCCACGTGGCGCTCTCACTCGTGGGAAAAGCGATACCGCTGCGGTCTCGCGTCTCGCTTGCGCGAGAGCGCCAGCTCAACTTCGCTATCGCTCTGTCAGATCGCGATTTCGCCACGCTATCGCACTTTCAACGAGCGAACATCGGTATCGCTATTCCAAAAAGCGATACTAATGGTTTATTTCCGCAAATCGTTCGCTATCCGGTATATTTTTGCACAATCAATTGATAAACAGTATAATTTCAAAAAATTTTCGTCCAAGTTGAGCGCTAACAGTCACAACGACCCTCTGATCAGGGTAGAATAATTCAGGCATCAATGTTGCTGGAAACTGCTGTTCTTCAGGCCATCAACTACAAACACTTACTTAACATCAAAGCACTCAGACATTAACTATAGGTCTCATGTAAATACATACTATAGCATGTAATGAGCTGGGTGCACAAGCAGTACAGTGGTCATAAGCCACAACTTGGTTTTACAAAACACAAAATAGATGTACTAGTAGTAGTAGTAGTAGTAGTTCATAGTTTTCCATCCGTTGCTTCATACGATCAGGTTCTTCAGGATTCCTACTTCCTAGTCATGACATTTTTACAAAAGACATAAGCAAGCTAAGACTTCCATTCTTGCTCAGGAACTTCATGGATTAGTCCTACACTGCCCCCAAAACTCAGCCCTCACCACCTGCAAAAACAACAATATGGCGAAATGAGCTCAACGTATAAATATTCTTAAAAATATAAATGCATATACATTGACAATAACATGTTCTTGAGAACTGATTTGTGGGAACTAAAATGAACATCAAGGCAAAGGTACTGGAGAGTGTGGGTACTCCAATAGCATAAGTTGAAGAATGAGCAGTCCCATTTCTAGTTACTACCAGAAAAAGTGAGAGTCAAGGATTTTATTCGTAGAAAGAAAAAGGTAGTAAAATTCACAACATCACGCAGTAAGAAATTGAAGTGAAGTTTACAAGTTCATTCTTGCAATATACCCTTGTGTTGTTGTGGTGCCACCAGCAGGTCAACTTCCCCTGCAGTCACACAAGCATTTTTCCTTATAAGATTTTATGGGGGTGAAGGAAAGTGTTTCATATAGGCTGCAATGTTTGACGTAGCATTCACTCGTCGAACACTTGATGGTAAAAGAATGGCGGTAGGTTTCAGCTTCTAAGGTGACTAAACATAATCAAAGCGAGCTAAAGGCCTAAAACTAAAAAAAAAACATGAAAGTACCATTATGCTAATTTTCAAAAATTAAAACTTCCATCTGCTAGTTGTAAAATGTAAAACTGCCATCTACTTGTGAATTTCTGATCAGTGCTAGAAAGATTGTTGACCACCCTGATGAGTGATGATACAATCAGTTAACCACCAGTAGCAATGATTTTGTATCCCACATTTTGTTACTATAAAAACAATTGCTACCGAAGCAGTAAATATATGAGATCAATCAGCAATTATAATCCATGGACATTGTACCTGCGAGACTTCCTGCGCTTGGTCACTGTGAGTTGCTTCACTTGATTGCAAACGTACTCAACACACTCACGCAGGGTGGCCTTCCTCCCATCCTTGTAGTTCCACAGCTCATACGCGATGCTTCTGTCAGCTAGGACATTATACTCTTTCATCTCCATTAGTGCATTCATGACAGCCTTGTGAGCACCTTCTCCATAGTCCCTCTTAAGCTCTTGCAGCTTTTCATCATCAACATTCACAATCTCCTGATTACGCAAGCAGAAGGTCAATTCAGATTAATCTTGACAATCGATCAAGCACAAGCTGTTCGGTACCACGGAGCCCTTGAACAAAGAATGGCATACCTTACCGTTACCATCAACTGTGATTGTCTTGAAGGGATTCCAGCTTAGGTCACTGAGTTGCTTCTGCCACGATGAGTATAGTTCATACGATGCCTCGCCAACTTCTTCTGGAGGTAGCTTAGCAAGACATGCAATCTGGAACACCTTCTCATTCAACTGTCCCATTTCCTTTATCCCAAGTTTCCGTCCACCGTTATCAATGTCAAGGAATCCCTGAAACACCAACATGCATATAGCATCACCTCTAATGCCACACTTTAATTTGACCATACAAGAATTTAGGCAGTATCTATAAGTATCATCAGAGAAATTCTAGGAGTATGAATCAACCTTGATCAACTCTTCTCTAACTGCCTCCAGGTCATCATCTTTGCTCACCAGAGCACCTGAGGCTTCCCCAGCATTCGGGTCACTCAGATGCCCTTCCATTAACTGAAGCTCACCAGGATCACCTGGAAGTCCTTGAGATAAATGTTTTTGTTTCTGCACCGATCTTTTCTTGACCTGCTTTCATATCGATACTTCTATAAGCAATATAGTAGCCCAGCAAGAAAAAAACAATGAACATAAACTGACTGCAATGACAAATAATTAGCTTATAGATTTGGTAGGCACATAATGAAAATATCAAGAATTGAGAATCCATATTCTAAACAAAATGTTCCATACATCAGGAGTTCTCATCGATTCCAAGCAACGTGGAGATTGGACATTGATTTGACTCGTATACTCTTGGTCATCAGCCTCACAGCCCGAAGGTCCTTGCAATGGCCTTTTGCGTTTTTGCATCGATCTTGTTTGCACCTGCTCCAAGCAAAAAAAAAATGCTAGTTATTACTTTATTAGTACAAAAAGTATGCTAAGGCATGATGTGAAAAATATAGACATTTGTGAGGTGTTAAGTTACATGGCTAAATAGGAAGAATTAAAATAAGTTGAAAACATAATGTGGTTAGTCAATGCCATGAAGAAATTATGAATAATTTGGGGGCAGGAACTATAGATTATTACCCCTCTTGGTTGCATAAGCTCAACCACAATGCCGCTCTGCTGCTCAGCCTGAATATTTCTCGCTTCACTCTCTTGAAGCTGTTTCTTTACAGACTCTAGCTCATTGTTCTTTCGAGAGATTTCCTCTTTTGCTGCTTCGAGCTCGTTGTTTGCTGCCACAAGCTCCTCCTTCATTGCTTCCAGAAGTGCGTCATTTCCTGCCATAACCATTTCAAGTTACATATGACACCTTTACTAAATAATAGTTCAACATTGGAATCGACGAAGCACAACATTATTCGTGAGAAGGCCACGAACCACGCTGTTCAAGCTGGAACCTCTCCCTCTCCTCTGCTATTTCAGCAACCACATTTTTCATGTCCATGTACTCAACCAACACATCCTTGAGATAATATATCTTCGAGTCCACCTTAGAAGCCAATGCCGCAAGGCGCCCACCCACGCCTCTGGTCTCTGCCATGTTTCCTGCAGGTTCAATAGGCAACAGAATATGACTTGACAGTCACTTGAATTTTGCCCAACTTATGTGCATCAAAGTAATGAAAAATGTGCATCAAATTCAACTTATGTGCATGATTAAACTTATTTGCCCAACTTTATGTGCATTATACTGCTAGTGTCTAAGTGGAAGCAAACCCAGGAGACTCAATCCCACAACCATAAGCACCAAGAAACAGCCCACACACAGTCCAACAAAATTGGTGAGCAACATGAAATTGTTGCAGATGACATTAAAAAGTAAAACCCTCACCTTACCAACAGCCAGTTATCACCACCAGTCCTGAAGCCCACCTGTAAAGATTAAACAATGCAGTAGGAATTAGTAAACTGGAAGGGAAATCAACAGCACATAAAACAAAATAATATAGTTGAAAAAAACCGCAGGAGTCACATCGAAGGATTCACAAGAACAGAAGTGAAAGAACATGCATAAAGCGAGTTCCATCGAACCAAAGAAACCTACAAGAAGCAAAGCAGTGGAATCGATGGTTGCAAAGAAACGCAGAGATCCGACCGAGAATGCAAGATCCGCACTTGCTCTTCAGAGAGCAGCAAGAAAACAAAAAAATCCGCAACTCGTTGCAGATGAGCATTCCAAAAAGAAAATCAAGTTTGCAAACAAAGATTTTCTTTCTAACCACCAAAACTGAGAAAAAATTGAACAAGTGAAGGGGAAAAGACGAGTATTTTCTTCCGCAGACAGAGAAGCAAAGGGCAAAGGCTCAAACACACACAAAACTCGCTTCATCCATGTGAAGAACAAAGATCAAATCAAATCAACCAAAAGATCCAAGAATCATATGAACCCCTCCGATCTACTACCTAGCGCAAAATAAATAAATAAATCAAGAACTGCTCTACAAAGAAATCGATTCATCTGATGGTCTGAATGTCTGATCATCCCCAACCAAGAAGGCAAGAACAGTCGCCCACAAAACAAACAAGATGAGAGAGAGAGAGAGATAGAGGTTCCGATCACCTTCCATCCAAATCACACAAAGAACCCAAAAACTCGCTGGAATAACAAAAGCGATTGATGCGGTGCTCAAAGCTTGGATCTTTTTCTTGCACAGGAGAAAGAGAGAGGAGAGAGATGCACTTACACCGACTCCTAGTGCTCTGATGGAGTGAAACTGTGAAAGAAAGGTTTCCAGTCCCAGTGCCATCTCATGGACTATACACAGCTGTCCAAAATTGGGACCCACATGTCCTGGACTGTATGTGGGCCCCACACATCACGGGCTCATGCAGAAGTTACCTGCAGTGAAGCTCTGGGGGGGAGGCTTTCAGTTTCAGTACAGACAGTTTCAGTCAGGAGGTTCAGTCACTGATTTGGTGGGGTCAGAGTGTTGGTGGGCCCAACAGCCAGTGACAGTAAAAGGGAAGCGGTTGGTTCTGATGTGGAACTAGCCTGTGGGTCCCAGTTGTCATACGTGGATGAACTGCAATTATCCACATATGACTTCTGCTTTTTGCTCATCAGAAAGTTCAACACCGTTCAGCATACGGTTGTCGTGATCTGCAACTCATACAGTCATACTACTACCTGTGGCCTACAAGTGTCCTGCACAATCATAGTCGTAGCAAGCATGAATCCAATATGTTATTGAGGGCATTGAAATGTTTGTTTTCGAAGATAGTAGCAAACAAAAAGAGAAGACAATGACATTTTATACATTGGGTACAGATTAATACCCAATTAATACCACCAATGCTACTCTAATAGGGCAATGTATAGGGCAACGTATCCTATCCACACGCTACCTCTAATGCACTTATGCACTCAGTCATTGTAGGCCCTCCGATTCCAATCCAACGGATACAAACTGAGGTTGGCATATTTTTGCACGAAACCGCCCACACCCCTCCACCTAAATTTAGAGGTAACACCTCACTTGGCTTTCCTCTTCTCTTATTCAACATTTTTCCCAAATCGATCACCAATCTCCACCATGCTGTAGGAATGGATGCCGGCGGCATCTCGAATCACCCACACAGAGGCACGCAGGGCCTCGCCGGTGGTGCCTGCGTCATGGACACCGGCGAATGCGTGTCTATCCAGGCACAGTTGGATGTTGATCTAGCCAAGCTCAATTAGGCATCACGGCCTGGCTGGCCTCCAAGCAGCGACCTTGCCGAGGAGCAAGGCAGTTTCCAATCGATTAAAAAACGAGAAGAGACATCGAGAGATTGACCAGGCCACAATTCATTTCCAGTATCGTCTAGAGCGTTAGCATCATCTGAATAATACCAATATATTTTACACCCGATGCTATTGGCATCCGAGAAAAAAACAAAGTGCATTCAGTTAAAAGCAAAGGTAAAAACACAAGTCATGGATTCATCCTAGTTAATCATCCTTGACACAATCAAACACTGTGTGCTAAGTTGCTAACGACCTGGAAAGCAATACCCTGAGCGTGTGGCATGCCGTCAGCGTGACCCTCGCCGTTGTGAAGACGATCACCACAAGAGTCCTATAGATGGCAAAACCAGGCCGCGAGCCGATAACAACCAGTAGCTGCGAGAGATAGCGTCTGGAAAGGGCACAGAACGGCCATTGCTTGCCCGCTCGCCTCTACAAGAGGAGGTAGTGCGTGCGTCGGCGTGGGTGATTCGAGATGTCGTCGGCATCCATTCCTACATCATGCTGAGGATTGGGGATCGATTTAGGAAGAAGGTTGAACAAGAGAAGGTGAGAGCCAAGTGAGGGGTTACATGTAAATTTAGGTGGAGGGACATGGGTTGTTTTCTGCAAAAATGCACCATCTCGATTTGTATCCGTCGGATTGGAATCAGATGGTCTAGGGTGGCGGAGTGCATTAGAGGTAGTGTGTGCATAGGATACGTTGCCCAAATTATAGTTGTGCAAAGACAGACTCTTCTAGCATGAGATGTGCACCTACTTCAGCTCAAAACATTTTGCTGAAACTGATTTCTCAAAAGGTCTGGCCGCTAATAATAGTTCATGACAAGATTCATCCATGTATAGTTTAATTACCTATCTTAGAGTGCCATCTAGTTCCTCCTACCACCACGTCCTCTTTTCCTGCATATACACAGGCATATTTCTTTAAAAGAAAAATTGTGAAAAATCTACGCTTCAACATTGGGGAATCAGGGGTTTTCTCTCTTTATTCAACAATGATGAGAGAGAGAAAGAGAGTGAGTTTGTGTCCTGCTTTTTTTAATATATATATATATATATATATATATATATATATATATATATATATATATATATATATATATATATATATATATATATGAAAGTTGTTTTAAAAAATTATATTAATTTATTTATTAAAATTTAAATAATTAATACTTTTTCTCTCCATTTAATATTATAAGTCGTTTGTCAGTGGCCACGCTGATATGTGGGTCTCATGCTGACTCATCCGCCACGTCAGATAAAACCGGGGTCAAAACCACCGAATGATCTAAAGTGAACGGTTTTATTAGTTGAGGGACACCCGGTATTTCTGTGGTTAGGGGACGATTTTGTAACTCGATGATAAGTTGAGGGACCTTCAGTATACTTTTTCCTTTATTCTCTTCTCAAACCAGTGTACACACCAGTGTACGCTGTGCAGCCCAAACATATGGGCCGCAAGGAGGAGGAGGAGGGAATCCCACTCCGGGCCAACCGTAATGGCCCACAATTACGACGGAGCCCCAACTACATGGGCCTCAAAGAGGCCCATGTAATCGAAAGCCCATAAGGCCCACCCACTTCTCTATTACTATCTCCCTCGCGTCCGGCCGCGGAGACCTCCCGCATCCCCCCACCGATTTCGTCCCCTCCGGCGGCGGCGGCGGCGGCGGCGCACGGCTTCTCCGGGAGCTCTACGCGGTAACTCTCGCCGCGCTCTCGCTCTCTCTCTCCACCCCATCCTCTATTCACGCTTGTTCCCGTGCGTGTTCGTGTGGTGGTCATGCGGTTTCCGCTTGTCGCCGCAAACCCTAGATTCAGAGGTGGCTCGGATGGGTCGCATGATTGGCTCGCGTTGATTCGGGTAGCTTGACCTAATTGGTTATTTAGTGGTAAATATGTGAATTGACTGAATTCCTTTGGTTTGGGGATGCTGGTTGGTGGTTATTTATTCGTACGCACAGGTTTAAGGGTTAGATTTATATATAACTTAGATGTGGAGAACGTATAGCTTCGTTTGTTGACGTTCTGTACGTGGGTTAGTTTTGGAGTGCATGAGAAACTTGCGTTAGAGATTTCCGTTGGGAGGGGAATATTTTTTTTATCTAATATATCGATCATTCTCTTACTCCTAGATATATTGTATTGTTTTTTCCTATGGATAAAGTAGTACGGGAATGTCATGGCATGAAAATCGTGTTTGGCAATTTGGCATGCTACTACTATGATTGTAAACTTTGGTTAGTTTTGCAATGCATGAGGAACTTGCTTTACGCATATCTGATGACCTGAATGTATATAAACTGTGCGGTGTGTTAAAGTAAGATTTTAATTGACGTAGTTTTTTTTTTCTGGACTTGAAAAGCTCTGCAATGTAGTCTTATGCTTGCAATAGTTGGCCCAACATATTTTCTGATTATATTTCCGCTTTTCTCTTTGACTCTACACTTAACACTTTCAAGGGCAGTAATTTTCTAAATCTTGTGCCTATACGCTAATTGATTCGCTAATTTCTCTCATTTTGTTCCATCCGTCTTCTTTCTGTTAACATTTTCTGTTATGTGCTTCAGACAAAACAATGAGGAGGTACAGCCCACCATATCGCAGTCCCCCTAGGAGGGGCTATGGTGGCAGAGGAAGAAGTCCCCCTAGGAGGGGATATGGAGGACGGAGGGAGCAGGGTTCTGGAAGTCTCTTGGTCCGCAACATCCCATTAAGCTGCAGGTAGTGAAAATTGATAACTATGCAAAATTGGCATGTCGATTCCATTTTGATGACTGTGTTCTTCATGAAAGAGACAAATGTTTCAATTCACAAGTTACACACTTAATTCAATTTCATTGATTACCTTAACTGTGGCAGAGGGGAGGATCTTCGAGTTCCTTTTGAAAGGTTTGGTCCTGTTCGGGATGTTTACCTGCCAAAGGATTATTACAGCGGGTAAGGCATTACTGAACAATTATATTAACATAATTTGGTTTGTTAGTTGTCAATTGCTGAACAACATTTATCTTCTTTACTCTAGCGTAGTAAATGTAGATTGTCTATATTTGTCTGTGCTGTTGGCCTGTCGTTGAAATGATTTTAGAAGCTGTTCTGATGTTATGCAGTAAACCACAAATATAACCATTTTTTTCATGACGGGAACTCTCAGCAAACATCTTCCAGCTTTAGTGTGTTGTCGAATTCGTCAGTCACCTTTGTGCATTTCTGCTCAAATAGAATGCTTTAATCATTTTTTTTTGGGTCTGGTGATCTAGTTAATAGATTTATTGTTGTCTCAAGACATGTAATGCACTCCTTGCCCTGAGTTTTTCCCCTGAAATTATTCCCAGGGTCATGTTGGATTGAAGTAAATACAATGTTGAAGGATACCTTTTAATATTCCTAACAATTCATTTGTTTGGCAAGATAAAGTCTTTTCCGTACGAAGTTCTTCTATGAAGACAAGATTTGTTTCATTGAGAAAATTAGTTTCACGAAGAGAAGATAAGAGAGTTGTACTGGGTGGTCCATGAGAAGATAAATATGAAGTGAAGTTTATTTGAAGTACTATCATGACTTCTCAAACATTTGGAAACTTGAAGCGAATGATTTTGTGAAGATACTCTTTATGAGGATCACCATGCGTAGTGTTACACAAGAAATTCAGATACTAGAGCCTGGACATCTAACTGCTTTTGCATCGAGAATCATAGAGGACATATTGAGTTTTGAACTGTAATGGTAACATGACAGACACAATGCTATACATGAGCACTTTACACCCTCGTTATGGTTAGGTTTTTTCATCAATCTGCTTTAAACTACCTTTTCTAATATAATCAACATTTACAGGGAACCACGGGGATTTGCATTTGTGGAGTTCGTTGACCCTTATGATGCCTCTGAGGCTCAATATCACATGAATCGCCAGGTGTTTTTCGGCCGGGAGATAACTGTTGTTCTTGCTGCTGAGTCGCGGAAAAGGCCAGAGGAAATGCGCAGTAGAGCTAGAGTCAGGTACTTTATTCCCATTATTGTTTTGAATGTCCAGCCTTATCTTCTGTCATGTGCTCGTTTAGTCGTTTGCATTAACGTTATGTCATTGTGTGCTTGATTTGCAGGGGTTACTCTGGAAACGAAGGGCGCCGCTCTTCATATTATGGTATTTTTAGCATTAGTCATTATTTGTGATAAGGCCTTTCAAAATGCATATCTATAAATCTATGCCTTTTTTAACTGTACTGAGGAAATATGCTCTCGTCTTATCACAACAAAATTCCTTCAGTTTTTCTCGAGTTTCTTCTGAAAAGTTCTGTTTGCTAATTCCTTTTGTTGCCACACCAAAATTACTGATAGGCTTTATTGTTTCATACAGGGAGGTCTCGTTCCCGTTCTCGCTCTCCCCACTATCGAGGTCGTCCACGGTCAAGGTAGATGAATAATGTCCATATATCAATCCTCAAGCCATTCACCTTGTACTCATGAATCCGGTCGCTTTTAAAAGGTCATACTCTCCTGCTCCAAGACGGCGAGATGACTACTCAGCTTCCCCACCGAGAAAGGATACGCACCCCACAAAATCTCCTAGGCGTCAGCCAAAAGAACATGATGAAGAGAAGAAGCGGAGATCCTACTCTCCTGCCAGTAGAGATGGCGACCCTCGCGATGCTGATAACGGTTATGAGAAGTAAGCATAGTATTTCATACTTCCATCACTTTTTCCTTAAATGCAATATTTGTTTTCATTATTGCAATAGGGCCATTTACACACCAATCTGGTGTTTTACGAGTAGTAACCTTCTGTAGACTTGTAAAGTATGATGAATATGAAAGGATGTGGGCCTTAGGGTCACTTGAACTATGGGCAGCATTTTAATCTTTGCTGCATACTCACGACAGATTTTGTTAGTCTTATTCTGTATTAATTAACAGGAATACATAGAGTGAAAGTGCTAACTATGGTTTATGTTCTTCACAGGAGGTCGCCCCCACCTGACAGCGATGGATCCCCTCCACACCGGAGGTCTCCTAGGCACTCCTCAGGGTCGCCTCCAGGATCCCGCTCTAGGTCCGCCGATGTTTCCCCTGCCCGCAGCGACTGACAGAACTTTGAACCAACGAAATGGGATAGCTGCATGATCTCCACAGCACCTCCAATTCTAGTCAGTCTCCATCTTCCTTCCTGGTCCAACCAAGCTGTTTCAATTAAACCGAAGCCCTAAGCGGCGTGTTGTATTATTGCTAAGTGTGCTTGCCATGAGTTTGGTATGGCACATCGCCTGTTTGTGTGCTCATATGTTGGGAGTCCAGGATGTTGTAGTCTTTTGAGAGCTGCTTTGTTTGGTGGTCATTTGCTTTTTGCTGAACATTAACTTGAAACAATGTGACATTGGTGTTGTGTACTACCACTAGTGAGCCTTGAACTGGGTAACCGCCTATTTCCACATCTATCTATGCTTGTGAGTGCTTAGCCCAGGGGCCCATGCTGCCATGCCAATATTGCCATCGACTTTGTTTGGGAAAAAGCTTTTGATTGGATCTACCACTGACTGGGCCAGCAGTACACTACACTGCCTCTCTTTTCTTCCTCACACTGCAACGATTGGATTGGACTTGTGAATGCAGCAGCATCATGCTGCTGCTGCAAACGCAATCCCTTTTAATCATGGAGCAATTGTTGGGTTGCAGGTGATCGATCCATGGCGTGCATTGCTTCCATGGTTGTTGTCAATGTTTGCAATTTACTCCCTAAATGTTTGACATTGTTGACTTTTTAGCACATGTTTGATCGTTCGTCTTATTCAAAAACTTTTGTGAAATATATAAAATTATATGTCTATATAAAAATATATTTAACAATGAAACAAATGATAGGAAAAGAATTAATAATTACTTAATTTTTTTTTGAATAAGACGAACGGTCAAACATGTGCTAAAAAGTTAACGACCGTCAAACATTTCAAAACGGAGGGAGTATTTATTTATTTATTTTTACTTTCATGATGCAGCAGTGAAAGGCAGGGGTTGGTAGGATGTGTCACGCAGAAAGTGTACTGCTTTTTGTGCGTGGTTGGGTTTGTGTTGTGTTGCTTGATTGCAGGCACTGCAGATACGTGGGCTTTGTTGTGGTGGCCGGCCTGAAAAGTTGACAAATCTGTCTATCTGTCCGCTGCTGACTGCTGTCTCATCTTTCGGCTGAGAATTAAAAGTGGCAACGGTTCATCGCCCTGACGACCATCGTTGATCGATCCATCATGCAACAGGATATATATACTGCATGAGTACTGGTACTCGTAGAGTCGTAGTGTATTTCTCGGAGTAGCAGCATAGCATACTCATTAGCATGCTGGGTAACGATTAATCTAGGAGCTGTCCGATGGCAATGATCGGGTGTATCAGACCCACCAACCCCCCCCCCCCCCTAAAAAAAACTGTTGCATCTAAAATTTGCAGACCTTTTCTTTTATTTTTTATGGATCTCACGAAATGTACTAGATTCAATCAAATTTTATATTCAAATATTCTAAAATTTTACAAAATTCAGTCCTATCGGTTTTCTCCGATAGAAATAGCCTAACCAATACTACATTAAACCTTGGTCTACACCGATCATAATCAAGTAGCCTTTCCCTCGAGGACGCAAATCACACGGTTATAGGTTTTTTTTCCCTCAACCCACACCTAGGGTTTAACTTTTCGGCTTGACCGATTGTATCGGAGGTCACCGGTAGACCGAAAATTAGGAATTTTTGAATAAATATTACTAAAATTCACGAAAAGTTAAAACTTTTTAAATATTTTGGCCAAAATAATATCGTAACGGAGGGGTCCAAAATGACTGAAATTTCAGAAATCAAAGTCCGAAATTTCCAACCTTGCCCACACCTACTCCCTCCGTAAAAAAAAAACCTAACCAATGACTTGATATAACATAGGACAACGAACATGTCCAGTCCTATATTATATCATATCCTTGTCTATGTTGTTTTTTTTTATGAAAGGAGTAGGTGGGTAAAATACACTCGATGGGTGACCTAGACCATGCAAATAGAAACAACTGGATAAAGTATAGCACATATGAACAATCAATAGTTTAAGTTAACAAAAATAAAGAGCACACACATATATATAAATTGAAGTGCAAATTTAACCATTATAGTGTATCCAATTCCACAAGTTCACCACTTAATTTAAAAGGTGTATAAACTATTCTAGATTCTACTTTATACTAATGCATGTTCATGCTTCATACAACCAATAGTATGTATATGTGACCATTCAATTGTTGTCGCTACATGAGAAAGACTTCTCTTTATCTCATTTCTTTAACCTTATTGGTTCATCATCCTTAATAAGCTCCTATTGTATGAGGACCCTAACTCATTTCTTTGAAAATGGTGTATCCAATTCCATTATAGTGTATCCAATTCCACAAGTTCACCACTTAATTTAAAAGGTGTATAAACTATTCTAGATTCTACTTTATACTAATGCATGTTCATGCTTCATACAACCAATAGGACTGTGGAGAACAAAAGGCCATTGCCATTTGCCAGTTTGTCACATAACAATTTACAACATGTCATAATATATATTCCCTTCTATATCTTTTGTATGACATTGACGAATTCAATTTTGAACAAACCAACGTCATAATTTAAAGGGAGAAGGTACTGTATGCTATCCATTTAGGATATGGGTGTGACTATTGCGAAACCATACCACTGATACCAACGCACATTTCTCACCACTTAAGTGTTGTTTTTATTCTCGTTGAAGGTGCATCCACAGGTGGATGAATTGACCTATCATTATCTAAGGTTTTGTTCGATTAAACCCTATCTCAAGGGGATTTGAAGGATATTGATTATACACTTCTCACTATCCCCTCCAATCTATTACTCCTATGAAGGCTTTGTTCGGAGGCACTTGCTACGGCTGCGGCAATTCAAATCGGCTGTCAGTTGCAACCATTCACAACTGCTGCAGGCTACGGTAGCTAGTCTAGCTAAACGCAGCCGAATTAACCAAACAAACTCTAATATGGTTAAGGGTTTGGGTTTGTCTCCATTTTGATCATTTTTGAAGAAGTTCACGTAGTAGTAGTACAATACTAAGGCTGTGTTTAGATCCAAAGTTTAGATCCAAACTTCAGTCATTTTCCATCACATCAACCTGTTATACACACAACTTTTTAGTCACATCATCTCCAATTTCAACCAAAATCTAAATTTTGTGCTGAACTAAACACAGCCTAAAATGAGGAAAAAAAAGGATTTGAATTTTTTCACCCTCCGAGGGGAGACGCGTCCGGTTTACCCGGGGAGGGAAGAAGATGCAGAGGCGCAGAGCACCAATGCATATGCAGCAGCTGCAGGCGGCAGCAGCGACCACTTGTGACCTGCACTACTACACGTCCTCCCTCCTCCTCCTTCCTCTGCTGGCTTCTTGCTGATTTGGTGTGATCTCTTCTGATACGCATCAACACGAGAAGCATCGAATCGAGTGTACATGTACAGTAGTCGACAGTACTACTACAGTATGGACATTCAGCCAGCTGCATCGATCTGCGCCGTTGGATCGACACGACGTGCGGCCCGGATGCATCTGTCGGTCGTGGACTGTAGCAAACCACAGCCAGTGATGTGATGAGTGATCAATCGATGGATCTCTATATCAGCTGACCTGATGCGTTGGGGGATCCAAGGTTACTACTGCGCGTGTATGGATCAATCTTTGGTGGTAGCCAGGGTTTACAAAACCATCTTATTATTACGTAACATTCTCAGTTTTTTAAACCACGGCATACTTTGTTGTAACCGTAACCGTGCGGTTACCGTAATAACCGTCAAACTATAGAGTGACGGTAACTCTACACAAAACAGTTTGACGAATTATGGTGGTAGCGTGTCCTCTTGTTTTCTAGGGAACGAAAGATGAGAGAGTTGGTTAGAGGGGTCCGTCCATTGGAGTACTAGCTTAATTTGATCTCGATTGATACTTGCAAAGGTTGATGTTTAATCATAGATTCGGTCCTCGATCTAATAACAATATCTAACCCCTCTGCTCAATCTAATTTAGTGCTAGTACATGTATCTATCTGGTCCCGTTGCGTGTCTTCTTTTCTACTACTGCTCATTTGCTTTAGTTGTGTTCTTTAGTTCATCGGCCAGCTGAAAAATGCTTTTATTTTCTTAGAATCCCTGCCGTTTAATTTGAAAATGATGTGAATCTGAACATATATTCATGGTAGTTCATACGAAATTAATAGTGGTCTTCATATAATGAAGTTTACTGCATTACTTAGGATGCATCCATTTGGAATGGTTGGGATCTCCTCTTCTGCCGTACGTAAAATGGGACGAGTCACTAGCACATAACTAATTAAAGTATTGGATTAAAAAACCCTGAAAATATATTAATATAATTTTCTCAAGCAACTTCATATATAATTTACTAGTGCCAAAACCGAACTGTTTAGCGATTTGAAAAAGACTGAGTTCCTGCTTGAGGTTCCAACTCTCCTCCCTCGTTTTTTTTTGAAACTGCTAAACGGTATGTTTTTTTTTGAAAAAAAAAGTTATGTCGTTTGCATTAACGTTATGTCATTGTGTGCTTGATTTGCAGGGGTTACTCTGGAAACGAAGGGCGCCGCTCTTCATATTATGGTATTTTTAGCATTAGTCATTATTTGTGATAAGGCCTTTCAAAATGCATATCTATAAATCTATGCCTTTTTTAACTGTACTGAGGAAATATGCTCTCGTCTTATCACAACAAAATTCCTTCAGTTTTTCTCGAGTTTCTTCTGAAAAGTTCTGTTTGCTAATTCCTTTTGTTGCCACACCAAAATTACTGATAGGCTTTATTGTTTCATACAGGGAGGTCTCGTTCCCGTTCTCGCTCTCCCCACTATCGAGGTCGTCCACGGTCAAGGTAGATGAATAATGTCCATATATCAATCCTCAAGCCATTCACCTTGTACTCATGAATCCGGTCGCTTTTAAAAGGTCATACTCTCCTGCTCCAAGACGGCGAGATGACTACTCAGCTTCCCCACCGAGAAAGGATACGCACCCCACAAAATCTCCTAGGCGTCAGCCAAAAGAACATGATGAAGAGAAGAAGCGGAGATCCTACTCTCCTGCCAGTAGAGATGGCGACCCTCGCGATGCTGATAACGGTTATGAGAAGTAAGCATAGTATTTCATACTTCCATCACTTTTTCCTTAAATGCAATATTTGTTTTCATTATTGCAATAGGGCCATTTACACACCAATCTGGTGTTTTACGAGTAGTAACCTTCTGTAGACTTGTAAAGTATGATGAATATGAAAGGATGTGGGCCTTAGGGTCACTTGAACTATGGGCAGCATTTTAATCTTTGCTGCATACTCACGACAGATTTTGTTAGTCTTATTCTGTATTAATTAACAGGAATACATAGAGTGAAAGTGCTAACTATGGTT